ACCGTTAAAACCCTAAAACGTAAACGTTTAACGTTATTACTACTAGTACTACGTACGACTAACTAACTAATAATAATAATAATATATATATATATATATATATATATATATATATATATATATATATTATTTTTATTTTTATTTTTATTTTTATTTTTTTAAGCTTTTCAATTTGAAATGGGGCGTGCTTCTTGTTTTTCAAAATATTTCTGTGAGGGGTACCAGACTGGGGAATAATTTGACACTTTTATTGAGCTTCTAAGTTTTTGAACAATATAATTGATATTTTCCTAAAATTTAACCATAAGAAAATGTTAATGGCAGAAAATTCGAAATTTACAATATGCTATTTTCTATTCCCACCCTAAACTTAGCCACTAGTTCAATCACCATTACACTAGCCAATGAGTTGATCGAAGGTCTAGTGCGTCACCGCTGACGTAGCTTGCCCATCCACTTACATATTTCTCCCTGATGCCATCGACTTCTATCGAAAATGGGAGAGATAAGAGAGCCCACACATGTTATGCTGGTTTTCTTCTCTGCCCAAGGTCACCTAAACCCTATGCTTCAGTTTGCAGGGCACCTTTCCTCAAGGGGTATCACCACCACCCTTGCAACCACCTCCATCGGCCAAGAAGGCATCCTCAAGGGAGGCACTCGAGCAGTGCTTGAGGCTGAGGGCACAATCAAGTTTGAGTTCTACTCCGATGGTTGGGACTCACGAGTCCCGATCGTGCACCTTGACGACTATATGGATAAGCTTGAGATAGTGGGCAGTGAGAGCCTTGCCAGTCTGGTTGAGGAACTAGCAGCAAATGGCCGCCGAGTCTCCTACATGATTTCCAGCCCCTTTACACCATGGGTGGTTGACGTGGCCAAGAAGCTTGAGATCCCGTGTTCGGTGTTGTGGATCCAATCTTCGTTAGTTTACAGTTACTATTACCGGGTATATGGTGGATTGGGAGCAAATGGCGAGGTCCCAGTCAATTTGCCAGGACTGCCTGAGCTGAAGCTCGAGGACTTGCCATCCTTGTCTTTGCCATCAAACCCATACAAGAGCTTCCCGAGGATTCTAACTCAGCTTTATGCGAGGCTTGGGGATGTTAGAATGGTGTTGGGGAACTCTTTTGATGAGCTAGAACCAGAAGAGATCCGATTTGTCGAGGGTCTGCACCCAATAAGACTTGTGGGTCCGCTTGTTCCACAGGCTCTTCTCGAAAGGTCGCAGCCAGCCGCCATCTCCGATCTCCGTAGGGATATGTGGGATGCATCTCCACAATGCTTAACTTGGTTGGACTCGAAGAAGGCAACATCAGTGGTTTATGTTTCAATGGGGAGCCTACTGGTGATGCCTCCGAAGCAGATGGAAGAGATGGCATGGGGGCTTAAGGCCAGCGCCCTGCCATTCCTATGGGTGGCGAAGCCATCAGAAAATTCATCAAACACAACAGGAATGCCAGAAGGCTTCTTAGAGGAGGTACAAGGACAGGGGATCGTGGTGCCGTGGTGCCCTCAGGCGGAAGTGCTGAGCCATCCTTCCATAGCATGTTTTGTGACCCATTGCGGGTGGAACTCAACCTTGGAGACCATCACGGCGGGTGTGCCAGTGATCGCCATACCGGAATGGACAGACCAACCGACCAATGCTATGCTCTTGGTGGAGGTGCTCGGGGTCGGCCTTCGTCTCAGGGCAGGCCCCGACGGAGTTGTGAGCAGAGAGGAAGTGGCCAAGTGCATCACAGCCACGACGCAAGGCGCCATGGCAGAAGAAATGAAAACCAAAGCGTGGACACGAAAGGAAGCCGCACGGGCGGCGCTTGCCCACGGAGGCTCGTCGGATCGGAATATAGTTGCATTTGTGGACGATGTGATGAAGAGTGGACACAGCCAGGGTCCCGGTTGAGAGGCTTCGGATTACAGTCTCTTAATCCAGAACTAAGCCCTCACTCAGAAGTGAAGAGATAAGTGCGTTTTTTTTATTATGGAGAAATCAATACTGTAAAGGACAGATAGATTGCTTCTACTGGGTTTTGGAGCGTTGGATTTTTCCTAAAAAAAACTTGCGTAACACAGGGCTTTGTGGCTGATTACTTTGTTTGTTTTGTGGACCCTATTAATGAGAAAAATGTACCTCGTGCCCGTTTATTATCTTTGCTCAATAGAACAAAAGTATTTTTATTTTTATTATTTTTTTATTTTTAAAAGAAGAGAATTTACATGGTACTACATGGAACAAGGTTTTATCTCTTTTTTTAACGGTAACCACGTAGGGCATTGCATGGAGAGTGAGGGATGAAGAGAGACGCACTTTCATTTGTTAAGCATTAGTTTTTAAGTGATCAATTGGCAGTAACATTGAGTGAACATGGCATTAAAAACAGCAGTAAAATATACTTAGGGGTTTTATAGCTAGGAGCAGTGGTTTAAAAAACAGATTGGTGTCTCAGATCGGGCACTCCAAAAACCCATTCGGATCGGTAAATTGGTGATCTAGATTAAAAATCGGTCAAATCGGTTAGATTAAACCTTTTAAAAAATCCAAAACAATTATTAAAATGCATTATAAATATTGTTTTTAATGAATCTGATAAGAAATGGGGGTACTACATTATTAAGTTTCATTTTTTTCATTAATATGTGAATATTGAGATGGTATTTTCCTCTATAAACTTATGTTAACAATTAAATTTATATCACACAAGAGAAAAATCATAGAATTATCATGTATGAAGTATATAATCATACATAGACTACAATAAAAAATAGATTAAATCTATTAAAAAATAGCCACCAAAATTTCGAATTGAAAAGAAAACCCTAATCTACTAAAAAAAAAAACCAAATTATTACAACCTAACTAATATTAATCCAAAATTATTACAACCTAACTAACTATAATCTTATATACTAAAATTGGAATTGTTGGTTTACATTTTGCTATACAAATAATAACAAATCTAAATAATAACAAATCCAAAATATATTATAATATCATCTAATTTAAAATATATTATTCACAACAGTAAAAGAAAAAAGTAAATTACATAATTTATACTGCAAATAAATTAATAAATAAAATATAAGATTTGGTTATCAATGTAGAAATTATTAAAATGCGTACCAATTTTCAAATTTCTAATTTTTTAGGTTTAAAAATAATTTTTTTTAAGGTTTCTAGAATAAACGCAACTCAAATGCATGCTTAAAAAGCATGATACTTGTTGTATTATTTTTTATTTATTTTTTGACAATAAATACTTATTGTATTACCTTTTATTTTTATTTTTTACAAGAAAAATAAGAAGACGGTATTGCCTTGGTAACTTTTTTTTTTGTCAAGGTAAATTTTATTTTTTTGTCAAGGTAACATTTATTTTTTTGTCAAGGTAACTTTTATTTTTATTTTTTAACAAAAATTTATTTTTTTTGTCAATGTAATTTTTATTTTTTTGTCATAATTTCAAGGTAACTTTTATTTTTGTTTTTGCCGAGGTAACTTTTATTTTTTCGACAAAAAAATAATTTTTTTTTCAAGATAACTTTTATTTTTTTGTCATAACTGTTATTTTTTTGTCAATGTAGCTTTTATTTGTTTTTTGTCATAACTTTTATTTTATTTTATTGTCAAGATAACTTTCTTTTATCAAAGTAACTTCTTTTTTTTTTTTTGTCAATGTAACTTTTTCTTTTTTTGATAATATTTTTTTTTGTCAAAATAGTTTTTATTTTTGTCATAACTTTTATTTTTTTTGTCAAAAGTAACTTTTATTTTTTTGTAATAACTTTTATTTTTTTGTCAATGTAATTTTTTTGACGTTTATTTTTTTGTCAAAAGTAATTTATTTGTTGTAATAACTTTTATTTTTTTTGTCCATGTAATGTTTTTTAACGTTTTCTATTTTCTTGAACATAAAATAACACTAGATGGTTTTTCGAGCTTGGAAACCATTATAAGAGGGATAGAAGCGATAGCCACCTAGACGACCCAATTGAAATTGTTCCTTGTGGTAATAATAAAAATATATATTATATAACATTGTCAAGTCTACGTAGTGTGCAAATTAATATCCCACATCGAAGATTTTAAAGACGATCGGGTTCCATAAATAACAAATTGGTAGCAGGAACCGTCGTTCACGTGAAAAAGCGGTCGTCTTCCCATGTGGCGTGCTTGTTCATGCCCGTTGCACGTGTGCGAAACTCGGGTTACGGATGATGCACGTGTACGAGAACTCGTGTTACGTGAACATCGCACGTGCATGAAACTCATGACGAAATTTGTTCAGACTCGCCCGTGTTGTGACCTTTTGCTCGGTTTGTTTCTAATCACAGGCGGTTTCGAGTTTTTACCTTGTTATGATGTCATCAACCGATTCGTGATGTCAGAATCGCCCAAATCGTCTGGTTTGTTTCTAAACATGGACGGTTTCAGTTTTTACCTTTGATTTGTGATGTTAGAATCGCCCGAATTGCCCGGTTTGTTTCTAAACACGGGCGGTTTCCAGTTTTTTGTTGTGATGTCATCAACCAATACGTGACGTCAGAATCGCATGAATCATTCAGTTTGTTTCTAAACACGGGAGGTTTCCAGTTTTTACCTCCGATTCGTGATGTCAGAATCGCTCAGTTTGTTTCTAAACACGGGCGGTTTCCAGTTTTTACCTTGTTGTGACGTCATCAACCGCAGTTTTACCTTGTTGTGACATCATCACCGGATTCGTGATGTCAGAATCGCCCGAATCGTCCGGTTTGTTTCTAAACAAGGGCGGTTTCAAGTTTTTACCTTCGATTCGTGATGTCAGAATTGCCCAAATCACCCAGTTTGTTTCTAAACACGAGCGGTTTCCAGTTTTTACCTTGTTGTGACATCATCAACTGCAGGTTTTACCTTGTTGTGATGTCATCAACCAATTTGTAATGTCAAAATCGCCCGAATCTCCCTGTTTGTTTCTAAACACAGGCGGTTTCCAATTTTTACCTAGGCGGGATGACCGATTCCTGTGTCGAATCACCCAAGTCCGTGGTGACTCGGTGATTTTTCAAACACTCGACATGTTTCTATATGATTTTTGATTCGTGAAGATAATGTAAAGAATAAATAGACTTCTATCAAACTTTTTTCCATGAAACATCAATATATTCAAGCTATTTAAAAACCAATGTGCTCTCCCTTAAAGGGATGTATAGACAGGTCATATGTATAAACCACCTTAAGGGTTTTGGTACTAGTGTTTTATAAAGCAATTTTTGATGCTTGTGCATGTCCTAATATATCTAAGGAAATCTACATAATGAGACCACTTAATTTTGATGCTAGGAGGTCACAATCATCATTGGTTGAAAGATTTGAAATTGGGTTGCTGATGATATGTCATTGAATGAGTGCAAAGTCTAAAATAAAATTTCTCAAATATTGTAAAACACTTTCATCTATTACATTTCATACCCAATAGCTAAAAAAGATTGTGACCTTCTTGTACACAAAATAAATGATATACAATCCTTATATAACATTGGTTGAACGCAAGGCTATAACTGACATCCCGAAGGCTTTTGGGCTAGGTTCGAAGCACAAGTTAATCCCTGTGGTTGGGCCAGCCTCCACTTTGTGGGCACAAGGTATTTTTCAAGCTAGGCCCAAGCTAGCGTGGGCTCCACCCAAAATTTCTAGAAACGTTTTTCCTTTAAAAAAGAGTTTTCTACATTTATTGAAGGCTCGGCTCAATTTCTCAAGTTTGGGCCTTGCCATCACGAATTTGGATTGCAGATTGGAAACTCAAACTTAATTTTAGGGACCTGTGCCTGGCTTAAGCTACCTTTTATGGTTTTGGGGCAAGCTCGGATGTGCTACCGCCGGGCTTGAACCCTACCCATAAACGATGCAAGTTGTATGCAGTGCTAAAAAATGCCACCAATCACTCTAAAGCAAGGTTTTTAAAAGTCACCAATCTGAATCGGAATTACCCCATTTGAATAAGGAATTGTCCTCTATTGAACTGGTTCATTGAATATATTTGGAACTTGTTGGGTTTATGTGGGCATTGAAGGCCTTATGAGAGTTTGTATCAGCATTTTATATGGTGAAACATTAACTCAGTGGGAGTGTGGTCCTCTTGTGGGCTATACTAGGTAAATGTTATTTGTCAATACTCAGACTAAGCTACTTGGGAATAAAGTTAAACCAATGAGGTTTCAGTGGGTCAACCTTTGATGAGATCGGTGTTTGAACAGATGAGTGAGCCGAGGGACTATGTGACCCTTTTGTGAGATGTTTGGCCTTTAGAGATAGGGCTAAACCTCATCATAATAGCATTACATGACATGTACATAGATAGCCGTATCAAGATAGCAATCCACCATTGAGGATAAAGTATGTATTTGTGCGAGATATTACCCATATGCACCACAGAGCTGTTTCTGCATCATGGTCTGGGGGATCATGGATTTGTCTTTAGGGGAGACCCTAAAATTTATGGACTGGGATTACGTCCCCTAGCCTATTGACTTACTTTGGTGGTTCAATCATAGACCTCTACAGTAGAGTGTGGGTCATGGGAACCGCTAGGTCAATATGAGAAAGCTAGTGTGGATCGTGGTCTATAATTGAAGGTGGAGTGCTCTAGTATATTCATAATTCTCATACCTATACGGATCCGATTCCCATCAAAATTAGTTTGTTTTAATTAATTTTATTTTATATGCTTTTTTAGAATGATTATTTGAATTTTTTTGTTTCTCTGGATATTTTACTTTTCATCATTTGGATTTATAATATAAGAGAAAATCAAAATTTAATAATTTAAATAAACTAAGAGAAATAATTTATTTTTGTAAATTATAAAAATAAAATAAAATTATTTACTAAAAATATATGGGGCCCATTATGAGCCATGGGCTCACATTAATCACATGTTGCAATTGGGTTGGGCCCATGAAGGGCCACATAAGGTGGCACACCCCACCCCAAAGGAGGATATACTTTCTATCTTTTGAGATGAAGACTCCTTGCAAGTTGCCATTCCATTTTGATATGAAACCTTCTTGCATTAGGAAGAAATATGATGAAATTTAGTATGTCTTGTGAATCAAGGTATTTGACTCTTCAAAGATTATGTGAATAAAGAATGAATATCCATAAGAGATAAAGT